TTCAGGCCCATGATTCTCATATTGTGTGGTCCTCAGGGGCCATCACATTTGGAAGCTCTTGTTGCAAGTCTCACGTGTCTCAAATATTGAACACCCTTGTTGCTGGGAAATCAGGGCCACCTCTCCAAGGTCTCCACCAATTTATGGACTGTGCTTACATCTTCAGTAAAAAAGAGGCAGACCAGCTCCAACCACTCAGGCCCTACAATTGCCCCACCAGTCTGGTTCCTAGAGCCAAACTTCCAGTAGACCACATCTATTCCTTATCAGAAGACAGAATCTTACCAGACTAAATCTGTACTACACTAACTAGTGGATATACCCTGGGAAATTCTAGGGAGTGGCTATCCTCAATCTCTTCCTCTTCCCACACTCCTGCTCCAGCCTGTGCTGTCTCTTGATTCGTTCCCCTTCCTGGAATGTGTCCCTCCTTCCTGAGAACCTGGTGCTCTACTGCATTCTACCCTCTGGAGTCTGATGGACGGACTGAACGGGTTATTGCCATTCTGGAACAATACCTGCACTGCTATGTTAATTTCCAGCAGCACAACTGGAGAGACCTCTTGGCCCTTGCAGAATTTGCATATAACAATGCACAGCACACATCCACCCAGGTGACACCTTTTCTGACCAACTACGGATATCAACCTTGATTCTTCCCATTATCTTCTACAGATTCTTCTGTTCCAGTTGCTGATTAGTTCATGCAGGAATTGTGGGTGATCCATCAAGTTCTCCAACACCACCTGAGAAAAACTGAGGAAGACTACAGATGATTTGCAGATCAAGATTGTCAAATGGGTCCTTCTTTAGATGTTGGAGACTTACAGTATATGGTTATCCACCAAATATCTCTCCATACTGCCCATCACAAAAATTGGATCATCATTTCTTGGTACTGTTTCCTGTAGAGGCTATCATCAACCCTGTGACCTTTTGGATTACTTTACCTCCCTGTATTCCTGTACATCCTGTGTTTCATCGGTTCCTCTTGGTACCGGCAGTGACCACAAGTCCCCATTGGCTGTGGCACTTCTACCACCACCTTTCAATGTTCATGGAGAACCTGAATATGAGGTAGCCCACATTCTGGACTCCCATCTTCACCAGGGATGCCTGCAGCATCTGGTAGACTAGAAGGGGTATGGACGAGAGGAGCATTTCTGGTAAGATGTGAGTAATGTTCATGCTCCCCATCTCACATGCCTTTTCCATCAGCGATACTCACAGATGCCCAGGCCTCAAGCTACAGGAGAAGAAGGTTGTGAGGGAGGGATAATGTCATGATGAGCTCAGATTCAGAGGAAGAGACTGACAATGAGCAGCCAGCTCCAGAGTTACCGGATGAACTGCTGTCTGAGCAGCTGCAGGCAGAGGAGGTGGGGCTGTCTGGCAGCCAGCAGGCACAGCTGCCGCCGGTCTCTGAAGATGAAGAGGTTGAGCTACCACCCCTCCCAGCTCAAAAGCTTGCTGTGCAGAGAGGAGAGAAGAGCAAAGGCACTCTGTGAGGCTTCTTGCAAGTAAGGAGCCTCGCCCTTCCAAATGAGCATCAGTGGGGCTGTTCCTATTTTAGAAGAGCAGTAAGCTCAAGTCTCTCCATTGATGACAACCACCCATTAACTTCTACTCTGTGTGCCTTGGTTCCTGACCTGTGAACCTCACGATCTTGACTCTGGAACCGGACCAGCTGATGAACCTTCTACAAAGTTTTGACCCCTGGACTCACCCGGCCACTCTTCTGGCCATTGTTTTGCATTAGAACTCTTTTAAGGCAAACTTGCTAACCTTTGGGGACTTGTTCCTCCACTGCGTGTGTGTTTGCACTCCCATCTTCTTGCCGCTTGTTTATTTACTTTGTAAAACTATTTAGTAAAATCTGCCAACCCCCCTCCATGTGCTTGTGTGTGTTTGGCCTGGGACAGGACAATTTAGATGAATTGATGTTTATTGCAATGGAATTATCAAGTAAAGGTAATGTTTCCACACCTGCCCTGGATGCCAGTCCATTTCTCAAACCAGTTCAAAGTGTTGATGATGATCTTTAAAGCCTGGAATGGTTTGGGACCAAAGTTTCTGAAGAAATGCTTCTCCTTGATGTACCTGTCTGGGAACTGTGGTCATCTTTGGAGATTCATTTCACCAAGGGAAGTTGAGTAAGTGGTTACAATAGGGTGAGGGCCTTCTCAGATGTGGAAGGGCTTTATTTAGAGGAAAGTGCTACTTTTCCCAAGAGCCCCAAAGTCAGGAAGGGCTCATGGTATGTGAGGTTCTTTTTTCCTTTGGAGAGAATTTTTGTAGGACTTTTTGTTTGTTTTTAGTGTTTCTTTAATCTTTCTTAGTTGTTTTGGGAGCCATGGTTCCTTTGGTCATTGAGGGGATGCTGGGAAGGACTCCTGGGTATTCATGTAGCCTGGTGGCTCTCAGAGCCAATCAGATCTGTTCCTGCAGCCACCTGCAGAATTCTTCATTGCTGGTGAGAGGAGTGACAGGTGGCAGAGAAGGAGAATGAAATTTGGGAATCTGGAGGCAGTGGCAGAGCTGGGAACCTTAACTGATGCTGGTAACAGGTCCCTGGGTATCTTGGAGCCCTGGGTCAGCTCATCAGCTGAACAACAGAGTTGCATTGCCAGAGTAGAGCCAATGGACCAGCAAGATGTGCATCTTTGTGCCTAGAGTGTCTGGAGCTAGCAGCAGAGCAAGAGAGTCCCATTATCAGAGTGGACCCAGTGAACCAGCAAGATGTGGGCCTCTGCACCTAGAGTGGATCTCCATGGCAACAGTGCATGGAGCTGGCAGGAAACGGGCTCTGCTTTACCCTTGAGTGTTGCTGCAGAGGCCGGTTGGGAGCCAGGAAGGCTGTAAGAGCCTGACCAGCGGGAGGTAGAGGCTGAGCCAAGGGCCAGGGTGGCAAGACTAATGGCTGGCAAGACTGGCAGGATGGAGTGGGCTGGCTGCTGCAAGATTAGTGGCCAGGCCGGGACCGGTGTTGGCAGAGACTCTGCAACAAGATCCCTGGGTTTTCCCAATTTCTCTTGTGGGTAAGTGAAGACAGTGACCCCCAGGGTGCTTTTTGCCTGGGGGGAGGGCCTGGGGTGGTGGTCTGTGTAGAAACAGAAGGAGGCCGGAGTGGCAATGGGAATGCCAAGCGGGGGTGCGGGGATCTGGTTCTGTCCTTTGGTTCCAGGACTCTGGCAATTCCAGCGGATTGCCTGCAGGCTTCCAGAGAACCAGTCCCCTTGCTGCTGCCAAGGGCTGTGGGCAGAGCCCCTGTGCAGGCAGGGGCTAAGGCTGTCAGGGGGCACTGTGTGTAAGTGTGCATGTGTGAATGAAAGGAGGTTTGAGTGGCCTGGTCTGGCCTGGTAGGGAGGAAGTGGGGGTGGGAGGGGATTGGAGGGAGGAGGAGAGAGGCCAGGCAATTCCATCAAGGCTGTAGCAGGCAGGAGTAGGTATGGTGGGGATCTGAGGTTGGGCTGCCCTGGGGGATGCTGGGTGCACTTTTGAGAGTGATCCCAGGGTCTGGCCCTCAGCATAAACCCTGGGCTCTGGCTATCGCTTGTGAAAGCCAGATCATTTGTGATCTTATTGTGGATGAGGGTGCCAGCCTGGCAAGTATAACGGAGACCTGGGTGGGCTCGGGTTTCCTGGGTGGACTCAGGGGTTTCTTCTCTTGGGCATGTGCCCACCTGGCTTTTGGGTTTTGCATCAGCTGAGACCCCAAGGGAAGTTGGGGTGGGTTGGCTGTTGTTATCCATGAGTCATTGAGGGCTCTTGGAGATGCTGCTCTACAGATAAACAGATGTGAAAACCTCTGGTGGAGGTTGCTACTGATGCTGCAGGTCAGCCTTCCCTATTTGAGCTGTGGGATTCAATCACTAGGCTGGCTTTCGAGATCTCAGCCTGTTAGTTCTTGGGAATTTTAATTTGCCACCTGGAAATGTTGAGTCTGGGCAGCTTAGGAGTTCATGGCCTAGGTGGCAACTACACTCTCAAGTTATTGAGGGCCTGACACAGATCAGTGGTCACACATTAGATCTGGTTTTTGTCTTGGGGCAGTTGCTTTTTTAAAAAAAATAATTCATATATTTTATGATTAACATATTGAAATTCAAAGGAAGTAGGGAAAGCATGAACCAAAAAAAAAAGACTACTACGTTTAGATTAAAGATAAAAAAATAAATCACTTTCTAGGGATGATACCTCCTCCCTTTCCCTTCTGTTTGTATCCCCTTCCACCAGCCACATGGCCTGTACCAGGTCTCCCCAGGCCTCCCCCACTCCCCTGAGGCATCCCTGTACTCCTTACCTGGGACTCTGTCCACTTAACGACCTGTGATTCTTGCTTAATGATGGCAGCTGGGAGTGCTGGGATTGCAGTTGCTAAGTGAAGCAGTCACGTAATTCACTTAATGACCACATTGCTTAGCGACCTAAATTCTGGTCCTAATTGTGGTGAGATAGCGAGGACTACTTGTAGTTGCCTTTTGCTAGGCCTTTATGCAGCTTTGGTGGCCAATCTTGGCTTTTATTTGTAGTACCTGCCATGCCAACATGCTTGGGGCTTGCACAGGCCAGATAATCTCATAGGGGGCCCTTGGAGAGTCTTACTTATTGGCCCCCCCATTTCCTTTGGGATGAATTGA